GCTGCATGTGGGTGGGGCAGCTGTGCAGAGTAGAACCCATGTGCTCTGGGTGGGCACAGAGACTGCAGGTGTGACAGGGTGAGTCCCAGAGGAGGAAACATTTCCCTCTGAACTCTGCTCTGGGGAGGGAAATTGAACCAGCTTGGGATCTGCAGGGGAAGGGATACAGGGTTGTCTGGATGTGGGAATTGCCACACCTGAGCCATTCCCCAAACCTCAGCCTTGTCTGCAGGTGATCAACATTGCCCAGTGCTCCCCAGTGTCTCCAGTGACTGCAGATCCCAATCCGTGGCCTGATCACATGCCCCTTGTTCCCCCTGTTCTCCCACATGTTGGGTTTGGGGCCGGGCTCAGCTCTGGGGCATCCCGCAGGAAAAGCTCTGGAAGGGAAGGGGCAGCAGGAGACAGGGCATCTGGCACTGGGGGCTGTTGGAGAACAGATTGTGCTGGAGTGGGGGTTGTCCCCACAGGGTCCCCAGCTGCCTTTCGCTCCCTGCCTGTCTCCCTTGGCACCCCCGGGTGCCTGGGCCCTTCCAGGGGCAGCTGCCCCGTGCAGGAAGCCAGAGGGATGTGGGGAGTGGGGCTGGATCTGTGCCACAGGTGGTATGGACTCTGTGCCAGGGCTGGGCTTGTGGCCAGGGCTGGGGGCTGTGCCAAGCTGGGCTTTGGCCTGGGGGCTCTTAGGGAGGGCACAGGGAGGAGTCCCAGCAGGGATAAAGGCTCTCCTGGCATGGAGCAGCCTCAGGCAGTGCTGCCCAGTGCAAGAGGAAGATGAAGGTGGCTGTGCTCAGCGTGGCCCTGCTCTTCTCCATCCTGCTGTGCCCCCCAGCACAGGCCAAGGTGAGGCACCAGCCAAACACTGTCCCCATATCCTGCCCTTTCTGGCTTCCCATCCCACCCTTTTGGGCCCATCACACATTTCCTCCCTGCTCCCTCCTCTGTGTCCTGTGCAGGGTGCCCAAACACCCTCCCACTGACCATTCCCAAGCGAGGTCTTTCCTTCCACGTGCCCCCTCAATCCTCTGCCTTTCTTCCTGGCCACTGCAGCGCAGTCCGCCTGTACAATTCCCTGACTCAGCCCCTCTCTCAAATCCTCTCTCAGTCTTGCTGGTTTTCGTCCCCACCTGTCCTCGTTCTTCTGTCCCCACCAAGCCTCTCCCTTGCACACCCATGTCCCTACACCGCAATTCCTTTCCTCCCGCCCTGTAGCTTACACCGTGCCCCTTCCACACCCCTGGCCCACTACCTTGGGCTCTCAGTTTTCCCCAGTTCAGTGTCTTTGGGTCTCCCCCCACCTCCAACAGATCCCCCAGGACACCCTGAGTTCCCATCCCTTTGCCTCCGCCCTGCTCCCTGCACCTGTGTCCCCCCACAGCCCCACAAGGCCCAATCCAGACCAAGCCTTTGTTCTCCTTTCCCAGGCACTCCTGGAAGGAACCCAAGATGATCTCCAGGAGGTGAGTGGGCTCCTGGGATTGGAGGGCATCCCTTCGGGGAACCTGGGGATAGTTTAGTCCCCCAATTCCTTGCTGGCACCAGGGACATCCCAGTGACCAGCAAGGTCTCCTGGTCTCTCTGCAGTTGGATTTAGACAATGTTGAGATCCTGAAGACACCTCTGGTGGGTACCAAGAGTTCTGCCGGTGTCAGACCCTCCCCTTGCATGGCCACCACACTCCAAGCCATCCCAGTTTGTCCCAGCACAGCCCAGTGCACCTCTGCTGACACCCCAGACAACTCCCCTGCCGCATAGATCCTCTCCAGGGAACCCTTTGCCCAATGCTCCCATTGCATTCCCATCTCTGTTCCCCAGCACCCAGGTTTCTAGTGGGTGGGGGCCCCTATAGGGGATGGGGGTCCCTCTAAAGGTGGGGAAGGCTTCCTGTGGGTGTGGGGCCTCCTTGTGGGACAGTGGGGTCTGTATCCCTATTCAGATGGGAGGGTTTCTATGGGGTTGGGGTCCCTATTGGGGGTTCCTCTAGGGTAGAGTCTCTATGGGGTGGAGGGTCCTTAGAAGAGGTGGGGGGGTCCCTACAAAAGGTGAGGGTGCCTATGGGGTTGGGGGTCCCTATATGGCAGTTGGTCCCTGTAAGGAGTTCCTCTATGGGGTAGAGGCATTCCTATAGGGGTGGGGGGTCCTTTCAAGGGGTATGCAGGTCCTCATGGGAATTCCTATAAAGGGTGGGGGTCCCTATAAGGGTGGGAGCACCCCTGTGGGGTTAAAGGTGGACTTTATGGGATGGGGGTGTCCTTATAGGGTCAGGGGATCCTTTGAAAGAGTGGGTGTCCCTATAGGGGGTGGGGGCTCCTAATAGGGGGTGGAGGCACCGCTGTAGGGTTGAGAGGGGTCCTTATGAGGTGGGGAATTCTTATAGGGCAGGGGGCCCCTGGGGGGGGTCCTTATAAAGGATGGGGGTATCCCACTAGGGGTGGGGGTTCCTTATAAGGGGTTGGGGACTCCCTATAAGGGGTTGAGGGGGGCCTTTATGGGATGTGGGTCTCCACAGGGCATCTCTACAATGGGTAGGGGATCCCTATAGGGCAGGGGGCCTCTGTGGGGGATCCTTATAAGGGGTGGGGAGTCCCTACAATGGGACCTATGGATGGGGGGGTTCTTATGGGGTGGTCGTTCCTACAGTGGTGGGGGCCTCTATGGAGGGGTCCCAATGGGGGGGGAGGGGGGTGTGTCTATAAGGGGTAGAGGCTCCCTGTGGAGTTGAGAGGGTTCCTATAGGGTTGAGTGGGCTCTCTATAAAAGTTGGGAGTCCCTATAGGGTGGGGGATCTCAGTGGGGGGTCCTGTAGGGTGGGGGGATCCCTATAAAGGGTGAGGGGTTCTTATAAGGGGTGGAGGCTCCCTATGGGGCTGAGGGAGGTCCCTATGGGGTGGGTGTCCCTTTTGGGGGTTCCTATAAGGGCTAGGGGGTACTATAGGGTGGGGGTCTCTGTGGGGAGTCCTTATAAAGGGTCGGGGTCCCAATGGTTCTTATGGGATGGGGGATCTGGGGTTCTCCCAGAGAATCACTGGTCCTGAGACCCCCCAAAATCCCCTCCAGAATCCCATGAATTCCCTCAAATTCCTCACCCCTCCCCCATGCCCAAAATTCCTCCCAAATCCCCGGAAATTCTCTCCAAATCCCCCCTGATTTTCCCCAAATTTCACCCAAAATCCCCAAAAATCCCCCACCCCTCCCCCACTTCCAAATCCCCCGAAATTTCCTCCAAATCCCCCAATTTTCCCTAAATCCCCCCCCGCAAATTCTTCCCCACTCCCACCCTTCCCCCACACCTAAATCCCCACCAGTCTCGCTATTAATTAATATTATTAAAGAAAATATAAATTAAAATAACCCCAAGGCATTATTAGTATTATTATTTCATTATTACTTTTATAATTTTAATTATTTTTTAGTTTTAAATTTTATTTTTAATTTTATATTCATTTTTATTACTATAATTATTTTAATTTTTAAAAATTTTTATTGATTGTTTTTATCATTTTGGGATTTGTGAGAATTTCCCCTTTCCCACCAGATTTTTGTGATCGAACTACACCTGAATTTCTGCAGATTTAGGAAAACTGGATTTCGTGGGTTTTTCCTCATTTTTGATGTCCCGGTTTCATTCCCAATGTTCTGGTGTGTCTGGGAAAAAACATGGATAAATCTGTGAGAAATTGGTGACAATTGGGATAAATCCTGAAAAATGGCAGAAAACTGGGAGAAATCCACAAGGAAATCAAGAAAAATCGGGATAAATCTGGCAGAAATCACAAAAAATTGTTATAAATTCAAGAAAAAATAGAGAAAACTGGGATAAATCCGTGAAGAATTGCAAAAAAAATGGGAAAAATGAGTGAGGAATCACAGAAAATTGGGATAAACCTGTGAGAAATCACAGAAAATTGGGATAAATCCACAAAAAAATTACAGAAAGGATAACTCCAGAAGGAATCACCAAAAAATCAGAATAAATGAGAAAAATTGAAGAAAATCAGAATAAAACCATGAAAAATCACAGAAAATTTGGATACATCAGTGAAAAATGGCATAAAAATGGGATAAACCTACAAGAAATCACAAAAAAATCAGATAAGTCCATGAGAAATGGTAGAAAATCGAGAAAAATCCATGAGAAATAAAAAAGAAAATTGGGATAAATCAATAAGAAACAGCAGAAAATCCAGATAAATCCAGGATAAGTTGCAGAAAATCAGGATGAATGTGTGAAAATTAGAGAGAATTGGAATAAATCCATGAGAAATCGGAGAAAATCAGGATATATCCAGGATAAGTTACAGAAATCTGGGAAAAACTGGGTAAAATAGCAGAAAAACAGGATAAATCCATGTGAAATCACAGAAAATTGGGGTAAATCCACAAGAAATCATAAAAAATGCTATAAACGTGAAAAATTGCTGAAAATCTGGATAAATCCTTAAAAAATCTCAGAGAATTAGGATTAATCTGGGATAGGTTGCGGAAATTGGAATAAATCTGTGAGAAAGCATAGAAAATGGGATAAATCACTGAAAAGTCAGAGAAAATGGGAAAATTCCACAAGAAATTACAGGAAATTGGGTAAATCCATGAGAAATCTCAAAAAAATCAGGATAAATCCATGAAAAATCAAAGAAAAGTGGGATAAATCCAGGATAAATGACAGAAAGTCAAAATAAATCTGTGAGAAATCACAGAAAATCACAATAAATCCATGTGAAGTGGGATGAATCTGTGAAAAGTTGTAGAAACTTGAGAAGAATCCAGGAGAAATCAGAGAAAATTGGGGTGAATCCATGAGAAATCCCAGAAAATCTGCATAAATACAGGATAAATTGTAGAAAATCAGGATAAATCCATGAGAAATCAGAGAAAGTCGGGATAAAGCCGTAGGAACTGACAGAAAACAAGGGTAAATCCCTGAAAAGCACCGGGAATTCCCCATTTCCTAGGATTCTCATGGGTTAGCAAAACATAAATCCATAAAAGGCCATAAATCCATAATGAAAATTGGATCTGCTTCGGGCAGTTCCCGGGGCAGGCCCCGCCCCCTGAATAAAAAGGGGAGAATTCTGGACTGTTCTGGGATTTCGGCCCAACGGGGAGGGAAAGATCCGGCTCCAGGTGAGCAGGAATGGACTAGTACTACCAGTACTAGTACTACTACTATCCATTAAATCAATAATCAATTATTGCTGGGTTTCATTTTCTTTTCCTGCTTCACTTTATTTTTATTTAATTAATTTAACTTTTCCTTCTTAAATTTTCTCTTACATTTTCTGTTTTATTTATATTTTGTATTTTCTATTTCCTATTTTATTTTTCATTTCAGTTTTATTTTTATTTTGTATTCTAGTTTTATTCAATCTAACTTTGTTATTTCTATTTTGGTTAATTGTATTTATTTTTATATTTATATTTATTTTTATTTTAATTTTTTACTCTTAATTTCAGTTTTATTTTTTATTCTATTTAGTCTTTTTTTATTTCTCTAATTTCTCTTTCATTTCTTTCATTTGATTTTTATTTTCTAATTAAATTTTACTTTTACTTTGTTTTTACATTTTGGTTTCTTTTCTTTTCTTTTCTTTTCTTTTCTTTTCTTTTCTTTTACTTTATTTTATTTTATTTTACTACAGTATTTAACATTAATTTTTTAGCAATTTTATTTTGATTTTTTGCCTTCTATTGAGTTTTATTTTCATA